GTTTGCTCTAGAACTTGTTTTGTGCATTGCTTTGTGTGCCGTGTAAGAAGCCCAATTAATCAGAGTGAAAGGTCATGGAGTTTGGAATTCTGAACCTGCTTCATAATTATGTTAACTTTATGATTGAATACAACTGGCATTGTGGTATCATGACACCTATCCAAGCAAATCAAAATATAAGCCTGTAACAGCCTCAAGGTTAAATGGAAACCTAAGGACAACCAACCTCAAATAGCCTAACCGAGGCTTTTCCAAATAAGGAATGTAATACTTCCACTGTACCCAAATAATTTCTTTGTATTGCTCTCACATTTCTCCCATTAAATGACTTTCTCCTGTCTTCTGGAGCCCTTGCCACTTCCAGTCTGGTGCTGCACAGTTCAAATTAATTTCCCCTCAAACTCTTAAATGTTTTAATAAGCCTCATTTCTTTGACTCTCAATTAGCTATTTGATGAAGAGATTCACAACTAAGGGTACAGGCTCTATGCAGAAACCTGACAGCAATGCAAATAATTCTTGTCAGCTAGCAATGCAAATGATTGCTGTAAGATTGAAAAGATAACCCCAAAGGTTATTTATTACCTTGTTGGACATTAACCAGTTTTATATTTCCCTTGAAATGTTATTCTAACTTTTTTTAAAAATGCTATTTCTGGTGGATATATAAACCTTTGTTCCTTAAATGCTTTTCAAATCAACACCTCACTGGTTCTCTTACTACCGCATCGATGAGTCTTTGGACAAGTGCTCATTTCGCATTTAAGTAAGAACCATGATTTTAAATTCTTGAAAATGATATTTTACTGCATCACTGGATACATGCTGGACCAATTAGTCTTTGGAAGACATTTTAAACCAAAGCAGTGGAATACAAGAACTCTTTTTTCATTGGTTGCTAAGCTGACAATAGGGGAGTTCAAATCCCCCTGTGACATAGTTCTATCACATTTACCCCATAACCACGGCTGCAAAATATCTAAAGCAAAAAGTTTAAGCTATGGCGGGGGGTGGGGGGTGGGGTGGGGAATTCCATCATATTAGAAGACTTATTCTTCTAATACTAGGAAAAAATATATTTTTTAAATTTTTTAATTTGAGAGAACAAGCGAGCACACCAGCAGGGGAGAGGGGCAGAGGGTAAGCAGGCTCCATCCTCAGCATGGTGCCCAACGCAGGGCTTGATCCCATGACCCTGGGATCATGACCCGAGCCGAAATCAAGAGTCAGACGCTCAACCGACGGAACTACCCAGAGGCCTCTAGAAGAAAATATTCTTAATAATTGATAGATTAAACAAAGATTAGTATAGGAAGATTTGAACTGCAAAATGAAAAGATTAATGGATGTATATGTGTATATATATATATGTACAGGCACTCAATTATGGGAAGGTGTACATTCTTTTCAAGCACACATAGAAAACTGATTATATAATGGGCTATAAAATCTATTTTAACTAATTTCAAAAAAATATTTTCAAACAGAACACACTATCTGATCATAACTCAATTAGGTTAAAAAATAACAAAAAGATAACTTTAAAAACCCTTAAGTCCAGAAATTATAATCACACTTCTATTGAGAAGGAAAGCTGGTAAATGCAGATAAAAAGGGCCAGCCAGATGTCCAAGGTTGGATACTGCCTTGGCATGCTTTTAGCTTCTGCAATCTTGCTTGCCTCTTGTATCAGCCAGCAGCCAGTAGTTTGACTATGCTAGTCCCACCCAACCCGGAAGCACATTATGTATAAAAGATCAGTAAAACCCGAGCCAGATGCTCAGCCCAGAGGTGACTCTGCTGGGCTGGCACTGGTGTGAAATAAATAGTCTTTTCTGATTCCCCGAGTGCCTGTTGCTTGTCTCTTCCTGGGTGCTGAGTACTTGCTGTAACACTATATGACATATGGGTCACAGAAAAAAAAATTCCAGTGTAAGTCAAAATATTTGGACATGAATGCTAATGAAAATACTCCATATTCAAGCATTGGAATTCAGCTAAAATATAAATTGAGGGAAATGTACAGCCTTAATGCTTGTAATAAAAAAGCTAGAAATCAGTAAGAATCTAACTTAAGAAGTTAGCATTCTGACAGAACAAATTAACAGAAAAATTTACAAAATAAATTTACATAAAATACAAAATGTACATGGGTACCCAGGCAGCTCAGTGGGTTAAGTATCTGACTCTTGATTTGGGCTCAGGCCACGATCTCACAGTTCATGAGGTGGAGCCCTGTGTCAGTCTCCGTGCTAACAGCTTGCAGCCTGCTTGGGATCCCAACTCCTCTCTGCCCCTCCCCTGCTTGTGTGCATGTGTTTTCTCATAATAAATAAACTTAAAAAAAATAAAAATACAAAAATGTTAAAGTATAAAAAATAAAGAACCAACAAAGCTAAAGTTTGTTTTGGTCACCCTATTTGATTCTTGGACTATCCTTTTTGACTCCTTAACTATACTATTTGAAATTTCAAGCCCTTCCTTCTCCAGGGCTCGACTTAGGATGAGGGCAGTGACTTGGGTGATACACAAAATTTAAGGAGATACGGAAAAATTCAATCAAGGTAAATATTTTAGTGGAAAGGCGCCTGGGTGACTCAGTTGTTAAGTATCTGACTTTCGCTCAGGTCATGGTCTCACAGTTCTTGAGTTCAAGTCCCACATCCCTGTTTTAGGTCAGCTCAAACCCACTTCAGGTAAAAACACAAGCCCCAAGTGAGCCCCACTTCTCTCTCTCTCTGCCCCTCACTCACTTGAGCCCTCTCTCAAAAAAAAAAAAAAAAAATTCGTAGAATATTCTGTAAATCAAAATTAACACAAAATACCCATGATAACCAAATACCAAAAATTTAGAGACTGTGTCTGACCCTGCACTTGTACTACACCCATCCTAGTCCCCTCCACCCTCCAGTAAGTGCCTCCCATCACCCTAATCCTGACTGATGGGTTATCTGATAGCAGTGACACACAAGCTGTGTTTCCAAAATTTAGTTATGTCAGTGCTTCTAATATACGGTTATAGTTCAGGGTAAAAATTCTTTATCATGTTATGAAAGTACCTGACAACATAAGACTGAATGTTATTAAATGCCTTATCAACATAATATACTGAAGTGATTATTTGGTCTTTCTCCATCAACCAACTGATACCATAAATTATAACATTCCTCCTAATATTTGTCCTCTCTTGCACTTCTGTTGTAAATCATAATATTCGTGGTGTATATATATATATATATATATATATATATACATATATATACACACACATATATATATGTGTGTGTGTATATATATATATATATATATACTTTTAAAGCTTTTACTTTTAAATAATCTCTACACCCAATGGGGGGCTCAAACTCATGAGGTGGAGATCAAGGGTCACATGCTCTACCAAATGAGCCAGCCAGGAGCCCCATTCATTGTATCTTTAAGGTGAATTTTGGAATTTTCCAATATTTATATTTAGTCTTTGCATATGTATTCATAAGTAACATCCAACTGTGAATTTCCTTCTGGTGTTATCTTTTTTGAGGCTCTGCTATCAAAGTTTTGTAGCTTAATAAAGAAAATGGTAAAGTTACCCTCCTCAATGATGCTCTGAAATGGTTTTAAAAACACAGGAATTTTCCTTTGCCTGAAAGTTTGATAGAAATCACCTTGATAAGAAGCATTTATTAACTCCTTTGTTAGAGTTTTACTTGGGAAGCTTAGAAATCTTATTTTCTACGAAGGATAAGATGCTCACTGCAACCCAAGACTGCCTTGTGATGGGAGTGCCACTTGTTCACTGCAGACTTTCTTTTGTTTGTTATGATGGCCCCAGGCGAGCTCTCTCTAGCCAGCATGACTGTCAACACTGAGAATCAGCCTCAGCAGTGACCTCCCTCTAGGCATCATAGGTGTACATACTAGCCCCAGTAGCACTACCTGCGAATTTTCCCATGGCTGCCACTTGCCCCCTTCTAACTGCCATGGTTCACTCTTACCTCCAGCTCTGCCACATTGACTCAAGGGGCTATTGTACCACCTAAAAGGCTTTCTTATCTCCTATAGACAGGGAGAAAAAATTGATAGTCTGTGGTAGACTAAGGAAGGCCACAAATTCTCTGACACTATGCCCATCAAGAAGTGACTACCCTTGCATCTGGGCTGGCCTGGACTGTTCCAACCAATGGAGTATGACAGAAGTGACTTCATGTCAGTGCTGGGCCTAACTTTCAAGAAAACAGGCAGCTTCCACTTGGCCCTTCAAGCCCTAAAGCCCCATGAGAGAACTCCATCTTCCCTGCTGGAAAGATCATGTGGAAAGTCCTTAAGACTAGAGAGAAGAGGTGCCCAGTCAAACCTAACCTTCCAGCCATCCTTGCCCAGGCACCAGGCATGTGAGTGAAGTCACCTTGGAGCCCCCAGTACAACCTGGCTACCAGCTGAATACCACCAAGGGATTCCAAGTGATGTGTGGAGCATAAAAAATGCTTAGCTGAGCCCTTTCTGAAATCTACCAAGTCATGAGACAGAACATAGTAGTCACTCCTTTAAGCCAATAAATTTAGGGATGATTTTTCACATAGCAATAGATAATTAAAAGTCTTTCACAGAAAATGTTACTGTGTTGGATTTCTGTCAAATGGAGGAACATGTTTTTAGCTCTAATCCCAATAATCTTAGATCTATTTACATCTTTACAACAGGCTGCAGAAAATGTTCATGGAGGAAGTGGACTCCCATTTTGACTGAGACCATCAATTCTCACATAGTAACATACCTAAAAGTTGCCTGGGAAATTATTTAAAATACCAGTTCCTAGGACCGTTAGATAATTCTGATTCAGTAAGTCCGATATGGGCTCTAGGAAACCGCATTTTAAGAAACACCCAAGTGATTTAGACGCCAGTTGTCCCAAGAACATGCATGGAGAAGCATTCAGTAAAGCAAGCCGGAGATGGTGAGGCTGTGAAGTAAGCCATCTGTGGGAGGGAGAGAAAGGGAAACAGGTGCTCTAACATAATCTTCCCTAGGCTCGTCCTCCACTTTCATTTCTAGGCTTCTCACATCAGAATTCTTGAGCTCTGCATTCAATTAAAAACATGTCATACCTTTCACCAAGGTTTAGGTTTTTCGTTTTATTTTAGCTTCTCAACCCCCATGTGAAGTAGAACAGAGCTTTCACAGAGAAGTGACTCACCTACATCTAACAGACATCAAACACAGTACGTCTGGGCATAAAGCATCTAAAGCTAAGATTCCCTCATCACACTGAGGCATTTACTTTTGAAAAGTACATCAGGTTCTTCAAATCAGGGACACCGCCACCAGGAAACATCTTCATCACTGTGATCATTACAATCCCGCTCAATGATGAGCTGTGGATTGCTAACTCGCACAGCTTCCAGCAGTTTCTGGGCTTCCTCATCAAACGCCTCTTTGCACACCCTAAGAAAATAAGGGAACACCTCTTCTCACACTCAGTTTTCCCACTGAAGAATTCATTTCTCAGAGAAAAACTGTTAGAGACAGAAGTGAACATGGCTGGGGAGTGGGGCAAGGGGAATGTGAGGTATAGACTCAGGGAGTGTGGCAGAGGAAGGAAAATGGAACACAGAGTAGAAATAAAAAAAGATTAAAATTGAAGTGGATCCTCCAAGAGCCTTTTTCTACTCAAGCAAAATACTACTTCTAATGATGACAACCGCTAACATAGAAAACAGTTAGGTGTTATATGCTAGGCACAGTTCTAAGTACAGGTATCCTTTGCTTTTCCAAAGGTCATGGCTGTACCACTTCACCTTTTTGAGAGACCGACATTAGTACGTGTTTTTTTTTTTTTTTTTAAACGTTTATTTATTTTTGAGACAGAGAGAGACAGAGTATGAACTGGGGAGGGTCAGAGAGAGGGAGACACAGAATCTGAAACAGGCTCCAGGCTCTGAGCTGTCAGCACAGAGCCCGACGTGGGGCCTGAACTCACTGACCGTGAGATCATGACCTGAGCCGAAGTCGGCCGCTTAACCGACTGAGCCACCCAGGCGCCCCAGTACGTGTTTTTGATAACTGAAAGAAGTCCAAAGATTTTGCTTTTACCACACAAAAAAGTTAAAAAGCAAAACCAGTGTTCAGCATTTGGGATGCAATGAGCTATTATGGAGGCAGCATGAACCCAGGCAGCAAGAGCAGCCCTGCCCAGCTCCTTCCCCAGAGCCTGCGCTGCACCTCAGCACCCAGCTGCTACAGCTCTGAACTGTGTCTATGAGCATCTGGGCCTCGTACCCATTTATTTTGTGCATGTGTTAACAAGATGTGTCCTAAGGTATCAGAAAAGCCTAAAAGAGAGGATGTTTTTGGGGGCCCAGGAATGCTCAAATTTTTTTCCATATAAATAATGGTAATTGCTTCTTTGCTTTATATCATTTTGGCTTATGAAAGCTTTCACGGGAACACTCTACCTTCAGATAGCAGAGGGACACCTGTACTGCCTATACTGACTCAGTTGATCAGTCCTCATAATAAACCATGAGTACATATCATTTCACCCATTTATAGACAAAGAAATCAAAACACAGAGACTGGAGACTAGTGCAAGTTCAAATATCTAGTAAGTTCCAGGGCTACATTTCAAACTCAGGTAGTCTGGCTTTAGAGTTCTCAGCTGTTAACCAGTATGCTACAGTATGTCTCTTAAAATTCAGTGTCCTACGGGAGGAAAAGAAGGGCCTCAAGAATATGCACAGATCCACAATCAGGTTGATTCTTAGGCCTGCAGTGAATAAGTAGCTTCCCAAATCCCTTGTTCCAGTAAACTTACGCCCTGAGAAGCCAACAAAGACTTACCCCAGAACTTTCAGTTTACATTCAGGAGATCTCAGGACTTCACATAACTTCATAATTCCTTCATACCCTAAAGTGTTCTGTGTCAGGTTTATTTTTATCAGGTTTTGGTTCCTTCTAAGAGTAGAGGAGAGATCCTGACAACACAGGGAGGTCAAACCACAATATTCCAACCTGCAGGGAAGAGAGACTAATGCTAAAATTCATTTAACCCCGGGACAGAGAGCAAGCATGTAAGAGATCTGTGAGCTGAGAGTACAGGAGGGCTCCAGGAGCTTTAAAAAAAAAAAACAAGAAACAAAAAACAAACAAACAAAAAGGCAAGCACAATTAGGGAAGATTCAAAGAATGTAAGTACTTATAATAATCATCATTACTAGATATTTATTGACTGAATTTATCTCTTCCTAAATCATAAATTACAAGTTCAAAATTATAGTCCAGGGAATAAACAAAACAGGTAAGCACACCAAGGAAAGCCAAAGCAGTTGAATCTTTGATCATCATTAAAAATATAGACACATAAGTAAACTTTTGAAATATGGTATTGACTATTTTAAAAGCAAGGTATATAATAAGGTCTCTAACACCATGCCTTTATGCAAATAAAAGTGCATACACCAAAAGTCAACATTACATCTTTTACAAGGATACTCACAACTCCATGGCATATTTCAAACACACTAGGCCAGCTGCCTATACAGGGGAAGAATGATTAAAAGATAAATTAACCAACTAACCAACCAATAGTCAGTAGAGGGCCCTTGCATAAACCAATGATAATACCATGAACTGAAGTAGTATGTTAAACTTAACTTTCTACACCTGATGATGCCCCCAACCAATTGTAATTTTCACCTATGTTTACCTAGCCATTCCACCATTGAGTGCCTACATAGGTGCTGAGTATATAGAAACATTTAGGGGCACCTAGGTGGCTCAGTTGGTTAAGTGTCCAACTCTTGATTTCAGTTCAAGTCATGATCTCACGGTCAGGAGACTGAGCCCCGGGTTATGCTCAGCACTGGGTATAGAGCCTGCTTGGGATTCTCTCTCTTCCTCTCCCTTTTTCCCTCCCCAACTTGTACTCTATCTCTCAAAATAAACAAACTTAAAAAAATTTTAAGTTACTGCCCACATGAAACTGGCATTAATGTGGTGGAGCAACAGTCCCATTATTTATGACACAAGGTAAATAAACATAATACAAAGTACACTGTAGGGTAAAAACACTAGGAGACAAAGGTTATCAAGAATTTATCAGGAAACAATCATCCTGTTTTTAGTCCTTAATAATAGTCTCAAAATCTAGAGGGGTGCCTGAGTGGCTCAGTTGGTTGAGCATCTGACTCTTGATTTCGGCTCAGGTCATGATCTCAGGGTCATGGGACTGAGCCCTGCATCAGGCTCTGTGCTGAGCATGGAACCTCCTTAAGATTCTCTCTCTCTCTCTCTCTCTCTCTCTCTCTCTCTCCCTCCCTCCCTCCCTCCCTCCCTCCTGCCCTCCCTCCACCTCTCTCCCCCACTCACACACTCTCTCTAAAGAAAAAAATTTTTAAATCTTAAAAATATATATAGAGAAAACTAAAACTAACAGAACTACAAAGTGAAAGACACAAATCTACAATTATAATGGAGATTTTAACATACTTTTCACAGCAAGTGATTGAAGTATCTGGAAAAAAATCACTAAAAATATAGATGATTTGAATAACAGAATTAATGATCTTAATGAAAGTCATATACAATACTGCAGCCAACAATTCTTCATCTTTTTAAGCACAGCATGGTAGACATATAAAAACTGACTATATACTAGGGCAAATGTCAACAAATTTCAAAGAAATGCCATCACACACAGTATGTTCTCAGATCACAATGCTAGAGATTAAATATAAAAAGATAAGAAACTCCTCTTATATGTTTGAAAATTAAGAAATACTGGGGTGCCTGGGTGGCTAAGTTGGTTAAGCATCCAACTCTTGGTTTTGGCTCAGGTCATGAGCTCATGGTTTCATGAGTTCTAGCCCCATGTTGGGCTTTGTGCTGGCAGTGCAGAACCTGCTTGGGATTTTCTCTCTCCCTCTCTCTCTGCCCCTTCCCCACTCACTCTGTCTCTCTCAAAATTAAAAAAAAAAAAGAAAATTAAGGAATACAGTTTAAAATAATCCATGAAGAAAAAAGCATAAGGAACTTAAATTTATTTTAGACTCAAAAATAACAAATGCTGCATATAATATTATAGAATGAAGTTAATGCAATGATTTCAAGGAAAAATTAAGTGTTGGAAAAGGAGGAAATATTTATGAGCTACACATTCAATTCAAGTATTTAAGAACGGTATTAAAAAGACAAGGGGGCACTTGGGTGGCTCAGTTGGTTAAGTGTCCAACTCTTGGTTTCAGCTCAGGTCATGACCTCATGGTTTCATGAGTCCGAGCCCAGCACTGGGCTTTGTGCTAGCAGCACGGAGCCTGCCTGAGATTCTCTCTCTCTCCCTCTCTCTCAGCACCTCCCCTGCTTGCATGCTCTCACAAAAATAAATGAACAAACTTAAAAAAAGAAAAAAATTTAAGAAGAATCAAACTCAACAAAAGTAGAAGATAAAAATTTAGATCAATGTTGTGTTCTTTAAAAAGTAAAATGAGAAAAAGCTCAAATTGCCAATATCAGGAAAAGAAAGGAGACATTAACAGATGTCTAAATCACTGGAGATGATTAGAAGCTGAGCAGATAATAAATTAGACACTTGCCAATAAATTTTAAAATTTAGATGAAATGGATAAAATCATAGGAGTAATCTTACCAAAGATTACTCAATAAAACATACATAAATGTATAATTATCTTAAAAATGAATCAGAAGTCAAATCTTCACACAAAGCAAATTCCAGATCATACAGCTTCACCAGAAATTTCTACAAAGTTCAAGGAAGAAATAATTCTAATCTTACACAAATCTCCCCAGGAAACAAAGAAGGATCACTCCTGAACTCATTTTATTAAAATACTGTAATGTGGATGCCAAAACTTAATAGGGATTATACAAGAAAATTATAACCTAATCTCCATTATAAACAAAGATATTAAAATATTTACATATCAACAAAATAAAGTGCACAATGTATATAAGACATATCATGACCAAGTTGGTTTTGAGCCCAAAAAAGTAAGGTTGATATAATAATAGATATAATATATATAATAAAATCCATGTTATTGACCACATTCGGCACATTTCATAGAAGTTCAACATATACTCATAATCTAAAAAGAAGAAAAATTCTTAGCAAACTAAAGATAGGAACCTTTTAAATTAATAAATGAGACAAACACTGAAATTTTGCTTTTGACAATGAAAATAACATAGGGAAACCCACTATCTCAAGACATATTAACATTCTATCACACATCTTATAAGTTACTAAGGCAATAAAAAGAAAAAAGAAACAGAAAAGGAAAAGACAACTATCATTCCCAAGAGAGAGGACTGTGTACCTAGAAAATCCAAGTGATAAAGCAATTCTAATCAACCAGAGGATGTGCCAAGCTACTGGGTATGAAGTTAACACACAAAACCCAACTGTGTCTCTATGTATAAGGAATAAACAAAATGAAAAACAACAATACCCATTTACAATAGTATTGCAATATAGCAAGTACTTAGGAATAAAGTCAAACGGCAAAATAAAGGGCTACCACAGGAAAAATTACTAAGCTTTATTGATAGAGCTAAGCTAAGGAGATCTATCATAATCGATAGATTCAATGCAATTCTAATCAAAATGCCAACATATGGGTAGGCATGGGAATATAGGGAGATGCACATGCCTGTGTGTGTTAACTTGATAAGTTGATATTTAAAATTTTGTTTGGAAACGCAAAGGAAGAACCCAGGAATAGACCCATGCACCAATGAAGACTTGATTTATAACAAAGATGGCCCTGCCAGACAGTGGGGAAAGAAAAACAGTCAATAAGTTTTGTTTATTGACTTATATTTCCACATAGGAAATATATTAAATTGGATTGACCTCAAACCATATATTTTTGGGGGTGGGGGGTGGAGAGAACGTGCATGCACACACTTTGGGGAGGGTCCAATGGGAGGACAGAGAGAGAGAGAGAAAGAGAGAGAGAGAGAGAGAGAGAGAGAGAGAATATCTCAAGCAGGTTCTACTCCCAGCACAGAGCTCAGTCTCACCACCATGAGATTATGACCTGAGCCAAAATCAAGCATCAGATGCTCAACTGAGCCACCCAGGCACCCTACTAACCATATGTTTAAATTAAAGTTTCAAATGCTTCATAAGCTGCCTTTTACATTTAGAAAATAATAGTAGAATGTCTTCATAATCCCAGAGTTGGGAAAAATTTTCCTAACCAATTACAAAAAGGACTAATAAAGGAATAATCTGACGTTACAATTAAGTTCTTTAGTTCTATAAAAGACACCATAAAGAGTGAAAAGAAAAGCACAAGTTATTGTCATATATCTAAGTCACAATGGCTCGTAACCAGAATATATTGGAGGAAAAAAAAAACAAAAAACCCTACATATCAAAAAGGGGAAAATGGCTCACCCAATGGAAAAATGAACAAAATAAGTGAAAAAGCAACTTTACAAAATAGGAAATCCAAATGGCTATTAAGCATCTCAAAAGGTGTTGAACCTCTCTTTAACCAGACAATTCTAAATTAAAACCACAAAGAAATGCCAAAACACACATCTGATTCACTAACACTTTAAAAATTAAGTCAGACAAAATTGGCAAGAATAGAGAACAGGAACTATCACACACTACTAGGGGCAGAATCAATTAGTACAATCTTTTTTTTTTTTTTTAAGTTTATTTATTTATTTTGAGAGAGAGATAGAGAGCTGGGGAAGGGCAAAGGGAGAGGAACAGAATCCCAGGCAGGCTCTGCATTGGCAGTGCAGAGCCCAATGCAGAGCTCAAACTCATGAAATGCGAGATCATGACCTGAACCGAAACTCAGAGTCAGACGCTTAACTGACTGAGCCACCCAGGCACCCCAGAACAATCTTTTTGACAGTATTTAATAAATTTGAAGACCCATTCCCAATGATGTAATAAATAGCTATTTTTCCTAAATATATACGTATGTGCCTCAATTCATGTAGTAAAATATTCATCAGCAGCATTAGTCATA